TCAAACTTGGTACATACATTAGACATTACGGGTTCCTGATGCACGTCATTTTATTTTTCAGATTGGATTCAAAATGGCTGACTGGCGGCCATTTTGTTTTAATGATTGGGCTTTGACTGATTTTATTCAAATTTTATATATTCGTTTTACATCATGTTATATATATACATGTATTTAAAATGGCTGATTTTGAATGCTGTTCCAGAGCAATATCTCTCAATATGGACAAGTACTTGTTTGACAATCAGATACAAATGTCAATCATTTTAATGTTAAAAAATCATATTCATGACATGGTTATATTCCAGCTATATTACCATAAACAAAACTATATATCTTAAATTTGATAACTAACAGGGACTGTGCCATGCATGGCTTGTTTTTTTTGGCTTTGCTGACTTTGTTCATACTTGACAGGCAGGTCGTACTTCACCCCAAATTTATTACCTCCTACCAGTTTTGTAATAGCAGTGTCCAAATGATCATGCTTTTTATTTTGGCTACATTGCACACTGGTAAAAGATTACCAGTGCCGACATTGTTACACTGTATCAACGTATTCTCAACTTTGAACTTTGAATGAACTGTAAATGCTGCCTTCAATCTAGGAAATACTATCGCAAAACGGTTGGACATAATAAATTTAACAGCAGAATACGTCCTAGGACTTCTAAAGACTGAATGTTTTCTTGCGAACTTTGCGAACTTCGGTTTTAGTTATAAATGTATATAGTCACAACACTACCGAGTTAAACTTTCGGATAATTAATAGAATTTTATCTGTGGGAATGCAACACTAAATGTAGTCATGATCCCACTATATTTGTACAATGTATATACATATAATTGTAGTACATGTATCACTGAACACATCCTCAAGTCTCATCGTTGTTTGTTAAAATTAGAATTACCCAAATGTAGCCAATCTCACTGACACCTGTAGGGATCATGGCCCTAAACATAGCTGATCTTCTAAACTCTTGTGAAAATAAAATTATGTTCCCAAATATAATTGATTTCATCAGCTTATGTAGAAATAGAATTGAATGAAATACATCTCACTGTATCATGTAAAAATAGAAACAAGTCGCTGAATAATCCTGACTCTCGTAGAAATAGAGCTACGGCATTTGCTTTATTTGAACCATATCTCTACTAGGAATCCCACCAACACCAAAATTTTCTTTTATTGTATGCTGATGATTTATTTTGATTTATTTATGTGCTACTAATAGAGTAAATACCCAGTATGGTATTCTCTGAATATATTGTAAACTATTTTCATGAATTTTGTGAGTCAGTGAAAATTGCAAAATTTTGGAGCGATGAAAATTACTCTGGAGTCTTTTGGTGATTTTTTGGAACAAATATCCTCTTTATTTCTGCAATTGAATCCTGAAATCAGGAAAATTTCTAGTAGTGAAAAATAAACAGTTTACAGAAGCCATTTTTTCTGACACAAGAGAATGAAATCACTGAATGTAGGTAATATTGCTGTCTCCTGCAAAAAGTAGAAAAGTCAGTGAGTTTAGCGTATCTCATATTGACCTTTCTAGAAATAGAATTATGTCTTAGAATAGCCAATCTCACCTTTACTTGTAGAGATTGAATCTAGTCAATGAAGGTGCTTGTAAATCATGTCACACTCATGACAATTGAATTGTGTTGCTAAATGTAGGAGGCCTTACTGACAATTGACTGTAGAGTTTGAATTTAAATGTATGTCACTAAATGTTAATGACACTTCACTATACTTGTACATATACTGGAACACTACTAGTATATACAATTATTATTTGGAAAAATTATGCATTCATTAATTCGATCCAAGTCATGATTAACAGCAGCCTCTTCATTACATAGCATGAATTATAAAGTAAAATATGTATGCAATATTGATATTAATATATCAATCTATGACTGTCGAAAAAAAATGACAGTGCCATATAAAATGCTACCATTTTTGCCCTAGAGTCATCTTGGCAGTATTTCACTCAACAGGTAATATGGTGATGCTTTAAATCATGATACGTGTAGAGCAGTCAGCTGCTGATAAACTACCCCAAGGCGAAATTTTTTTGTAAAGTCTTTGATTCCACATAAACATATTATTGATCTACACAGATTTGATAGCTTGAGTTTTAGAGAGAATTTACACAACCGGTATACATGTAGTTCATTATCGATAAAGATTTCTCAAGTTGTCATCGAAGGTTGAAAACAATAAAAAAAAAATGACTTATGACATTAGAAAATATTACTGCTGTAGGCCAACAATACTCCCAGAAAGTACCAGGATGTGTGACCTGTGGGGTCATGCAAAGTACCAGGATGTAACCATTATGGGTCAGGCATATTGCCTATTGCGATCATGTTTCAATAAAACATGACACTTTATTTTATTCTCCCATGTTATCATGCACATTTAAAAAAAAAAATAGAAATTTTATTTAGTTTACCTATTTTGTAAATTCTTGCTCCAAGAGTTGGGTCCATAGTATCGTACATCCATGATAGTATTAACAGCCCCTACTTTTTTTTTCTGCTTGACCCCTCAGAGTGCTTAAAGGGAACCTTCCAAGCCCAGGAATTGCACCAAAGAATTATGGAACACTATTGTTTAT